ATAGCAAGTCATAGACTTGGTATTAGGGATGGAAACAGGATAAACGCGGCGGAGACTAGAGCTAGTTGGCTGATAGTAGGCATATTTCAACATAGATGTAGTCCATATAGCAAAGGCTTGACCATGAGATTTACTCAGAGGTTTTAGCCTCGAATTAGCTATTCAGATGTAGGGTATGGGTAATAACGCCTCGAGTGGCACAAACTTGGTCACAGGGGTCAAGTGAAATACTTGAACCAGGGAGATAGCAGACGGATTTTACGGGGCTAGAGAGAGACTCTTTAAGACCTATGGAAGGACTGCGTAATAATATGGCAGACTCTGATAAAGATTCCCAGCACAAAGGTGAAGGGGATGAGTACGCCAGTGTGGAGTATGCAGGGTTCCCATAAAAGCTGCTCAAAGGGCACACCACACTATTTTTAAATAAGCAAGGAAAAATTGTGATAGTGAAGGTTTGATACGAGGATATAGGATAGGTGAATATCCCAGGACAGGAGATGCTATTTAGTACGCATTTGGTCAACGGATCGGCTTCACTTGTCTCTTTAACGAGTTGTAATATGATGCTGAGAATGGCAAGACTCACTGACGATGCCGGCGAAACGTCTGAGAATGTATAACATTCATGGTCCGACTTTAGAAATGATTATGCATACAATGGACTCCGGACTAGGTGCTTTTCTCTAAGTCTTCCTACCAATAAGACCAAGTTGTGAAAACAAGGTCAAGCAACTTCTATTGCAGAAGTAAGGAATCTGCTGACTGGTCATATCAAAATTAACCTCATGCATAAACTTAGCCTACTTGTAGGCGTGTAGGGTAAGCACAGAGTAGCAAATCAAGTCATTTTGTAAAGGAGGAATTTGAAGTTGAAGAACAAACATAGTTTATCACAATGTTGATAATCTATCCAAAACGTACAGAGAAAATTCTTCTATGGATCACCGGTGATGAACTATATGCTGTGAGTTAATGTCAAGTATGTGTCTCCCCATATAATACGCATAAAAATATGATTATCCTATATACTACAATGTGTAGATACGAAGAGTAGCTGTGTTTTGATGAATGACGTTGGAGGGACTTTCATTTCGTATGAAAGTGCATGAAGAAGAGATTTGAAGGTCAATTTGACCAGAAGAGTAAGGCTGATTTCAGTTGTGTTGCAGCCGTTTGGCTTTAATACGACCTTTAGGTTGACGCAGTCCAAGGAAAATGATATCTTCACTTTGCACCAGTGAAACAAGAAATTTTGTTACTTCCTTAAATATTGTAAGTAGATCAATAACGCTTGAGTGATAAGATCACCGTCCTAAGACATTCAAATCTCCTATCCGGGATTGGCAAGATTCCCATCAGAAACCCGTAGGCATATTATGCTAGCATTCAATTTGAAGTAATTGGTAACGCCTATGCTAATTACCCCGGAAACATCAGATCCACCACCCATCACGATAACGCGTGCTGTATGGCAGGCGGCGAAAAGGCCGCGTTTTCCAAGGCACTGAGTAGCTACTTGGCGAGCGACATGTGTATCCAGTCCCGAGAGAGGATCGTCAAGCAGGGCGAGATCCGCGCGTTGGTAGAGGGCTCTGGCGAGAGCAACTCGTGTTCGCTGCCCACCACTCAGGCGACTGCCGGCTTCACCCACCATGGTATCTGGCCCAGAAGGCAGATGGTCTAGATCTGAGGTGAGCTGGCAAGCGGAGACCACTCGGGAAAACCATTCAGCATCCCAGGTGCTGGCTAGTTGGATGTTGTCACGCAGCCTGCCAGATTGAATCCAAACAGGCTGACCGAGATAGGCGATACGAGGCAATGGCGCAGGAACGCTGAAGGGCTGAATGGAAAGTAGCAAAAATCGACAAGAGGCATCAGCGCTCTAGAAAATAATAATATATCAATTGATAATGAAGGGTGAACGTAGAATATACGATGTATAATGAAAATCAGGAATTCCAAAGATAAAAAAGAACAAAAATTAAATTTTAGAAGTTAAATATTTACGGCATATAGTAAAAAATATTTCGGGGAAAAGTTTGATTAGTAAAAGAAAGATCTTGTATCTAAAAATTTCAAAAAGTATTTAGAAAAACATGTCTGCTCTTACTAACTTGCATTTTTATGGAAAACCAGAATGTAATATTTTAGAAAATTAAATTTAA